AGACATTCGACTTGAAAATCACGGACAGCGCACAACTCAACTGCAAGTTATTTTACGCAATCAAGCAATCTCGTTAAGAGACTTTGAAGCTGGCAGTTAAAAGGAAGCCCAGACTTGGCACGCGCGGAATCATATGGAACAACATCCAGGAAACCCTATAGTTGGTGATATCCCAATATGATAAAGATCAACTTTCTAACGGGTTTGTGAATGTTGTTTGCAATGAATCTGCGCGTTCGAGACAGGGATTGATTGCGTAACCTGTGAAATATTCTTAAAATATCTTAGGTGTCGCTATGCCATCAAAATTTCAAAAACGGGTTCACTCTTGTATCGAATTCGCTAACAATATGGTCTCATTTCTGAAAATGAATGGATCTTAATGTTCAGGAACGGGATCGCGGACTTTGAAAGAACCGGTTCGCGATAATTTTGATCTTAAATTTTTTTAAAAATTAAAACTTAAATAGAGTTTTTACTACCGGAAAAATTTAACATTTCATAAATGCAACATCATGTCGTCTGTCTGTTGAATTATTGACAAAATCCAATACTGGTTATTCGATAAATTGCTGAAGTTGGAGACTTAAATCATATTTATTTTTAGCAAATGCACGAGTCAAAGTGTTGCAATCATTGTCGCGATCGTGTCTGATTTAAAGTTAAGCAAATTTGGACAAGTTCTATTTGTTGCCAAGATGTTGCGCGATGGCCTATTGGAAGCGTTAGGCTATATTCTATAGCATATAGAAACGAATTTGCTATTTTTAACGATGTAGTGAAACCGTACGAGGACGTGGTGGATCTATTGGATGCCAATTCCAAATATGCACTGGTACGCCACTCAGATGGAAGACAAACTACAGTTTCTGTGAAAGACTTGGCGCCATGTCCCGACCAATCTAAAGCTAAACCAACCGAGACTCAAAATGATTTGAATGACGCTGATTTGCCAGAAGCTCGGGATGAATTAAACGCACTATATGAATATCTTAGTGCATAGTTGGCGTTCTGCTTCACCGAATAGCTTGAAACCACTGGCATTGACATCCAAGATATTGACTGAATATTATTATTTGCTTTTTACCAGTTGACCACGTTTTATTATAGAGGAAAATAAAATTCGTGCTCAGGCTAACATCAATTGTGCGTGTATCACCCCCATATATAAATGGTGAATACCCCGACCCATTGCAAGTTATTTTAACAGCAGCTTCAACAGCTTATGTCAAATATCGTAACCTGAAAGTACCAGCACAGTGAGGGTTCGAGTGCCCACTTTTTAGGGACTTAAGTTACCTGAATAAAATGCGAGTCAACCCGAAATGATTTATATTCGATATCTCAAATCTGTCACTTTAACACCTGAAACCTCACAGTATGTTACCTGAAAGGATTTCATTCAATTTACGAAAACTCATTCACAGACAAAATAAATAAGCTCAGCAGAGCTCTGCTATTTTTCAGGCCAAAAGCTATATTTTATTGAAAGATGCCAGCTAAACTATTATTTAGCTCTGAAACATAAAATTGCAATGACCGACAGATTAATAAGTATTAAATCAATTTTGACGCTAAAATCTTATTGCCGATTTCTTACATATGAAACTTTTTCTTCATTAAAAGTTTAATCACAGTAAACAGCAATCTTCTAGAATTTCAGATGTTGTGAATTATAGCTCTACAAAGCCTTGTACAAATGAAAGTCTGCCATTCCGACTTGAAGTCCCAACTTCGGAGTTAAAATCTCTTGATCAAATGATCACCGACTTTAAAAACGGGGATTTTAGCGTGTTTTGGTCCCTGAAGCGCATTTTAATTTGTGTTGTCTCAGCTTTCAGCAAAATGATAATGAGACTGATATATTCAGTGTTAAATTTGCTTTGCATAAAGTTATATTAACGGTGAACGAAATAGCTATGCAGAAAACAGTCTTAGCGGCTGGACAAGAGCATGGGCCACGTTGCATAACACAACAATTATCTCTGTTATTTCTGGTTCAACTGTGAGTAATCGATATAAATAGTATTTCAACCTGTTCCACTTGTTTTCAACTTTTTTGATCTGTTTGAATTCAGGAAATGAACGTTTGAAACCTTTGTCTTTTCAAACTAGCATAACCCTTGCATCAGATTTTGCACATACTAACCATTGCCAACGAATTAAACCAAATATTACGCTCCAAATATCATCCCTCCCCCCGAATGGCTTGCAATCCACTGGCATTGACATCCAAGACATTGACTGAAATGTATTGTATAACTTTATACTAACTGAACATGTTTTATTATATTAAAATTTAAAATTCGTTTGAAACGTGGGCTGAAAATAACGGCATTTGTGCAAGTATCACTAGCGACAGTTTTTTCCCTGCACTCCAATCAAAGCGGTGAACAACCCTCCCATCGAAATATATTTTAACAGTAAGGTTTTTGTCAAATATTGCAACGTAAAAGTAGCAGCATTGTGGAGTCTTTAAGGAATGAATATCAATGACCTGGATTGACTCGAGTTATCTGAATGAAATAACTCGGACGCAATTAACCACCGGTGACCCTCAACACAGGGATTGACTCGACTTGGACTCGAGGTTTGAGGATTTCCGCAACAACTGGAATATGCTTGTTCTAAGTATACCATTCCTGTCTGGTTTCTCCATCTGACAACTAATTCTGACGTCCGAAACGAATCAAATATCCAAATCAACTCGAAATTAATTACATTCGATATATTAAATCAACCATTTCAATACCTGAAATATCCAAGTGACTCATTTATAAGAGATTCATTCAATTTACGAAAACTCACTCACGGACTAAATAAATAAATCGCCAGAGTTCGATCGCCGATCTGTTAAGGCAAACGCTGACTAATACAGCCGGCTATATTTTATTGAGTCATAAGACGCAAGCCTAACTATTATTCAGCTCTGAGGCATAAAACCGCAATGACCGACAAATTGATAGGTATTGAATCAATTGATTCCCTACGTATAAAACGTTTCTATAATTAAAAGTTTATTCACAATATTAACAGCAATCTTTCAGAATTTTGGATGAGATGACATATACTCCGTGACTACCTGTACAAGGCTTCGCCCAGAAATAAAGTTCGTCATTACGACTTGAAGTCCCGACTTCGGTATTAAATCACTTGGTCAAGTGATCACCGACTTTAAAAAAGGAAAGTTCAGCGTGTTTTTGTCCCTGAATCACGATATTTTCATGCGCATGTATGTGTATTATCTAGGTTTTGAGAAAACTGTAGAAAGTACTTCAATTAAAAATGTCATCAGAGCCCAGGCTGATAGGTGTTACATGTACTTGAACAGCGGTCTTATGTTGCATTATCATGTGTGTTGTCTCAGTTTTCAGAGAAATCTGGAAAGTGCTTAAGTTGATATCGAAATCAGGTCCTTGACTAATATATTCAGTGCAGTTGATATTTTTGATTCAAATATTAGAATTCGATATTAAAAATATTTTAACCTGTTTAACTTGTTTTTAACTTTTATGACCCATTGAATTTCAGGAAATGAACGTTTGAAACCTCTGCCGTTTCAAACTAACATAACCCTGGCTATTGCCAACAAATTCAACCAGGTATTACTCTTACGGGCGTGTTAGTGACATCGCCGTCATCGTTTCATAAAGATAGAAAGAGAGGCATTTACCAAACTCACTTTTTTTGTGACGCAACACGTATCTTACAAGAGAGAGAGAAAACAACTTCTCTTTCCGCTTTAGAGTAGTGAGTGAGCTTACAAAGGATATATTCCGACGCGAATAGATTGAAGCTTCATTCTAACCCAATCTGTTCGGGAATCGACTTTCATCGGAGCAATTTTGAGAAAAGTTTGGATTCAAAATGAGGATTCCTATTCAATACATTCTTCTTATGTTTATCGAGGCATTTCTATTGGTTAAAGGTCAGTATAACCGTGCATGCTTTACTTGCTTGCATTGGTTTTGTTTTTTGCGCGAGAAGAAATACTCGTTTTTCGCTCCTCGGATTATTTATTTGCATCAAGCGGAATATTTATTTATTCCGGCATGGAAAAGGCCAGTATGGCGGTGTGAAAATATGGCAAACCTCGATTTCAAGTTAAAATTTGAATTAAGAACGGAGAAAGAAATACTAACTCAAACTGCGTTAAACACCCAAAGCGGAGGCCGCCATAGATATAAAAATAAATGATGATTGTTCGTATTCAATGTGTCGCCGCTCACGTACCGTAGATTTTGCTTAATGGCCGTTCCATCATCATAATATATATATCTATATGCGATACAACGCTTTGGCTTTAAAATCTTTGATGAGAGCGTAACCTCATACAAAATGTTTTAGTTTTTGAACCTGAATTTTTGGTATCGTAATATACACTGTAATCGTTATGTTCAAAAAAGAAAATTCGATCGTAGATTATCGGCAGGGTGGCCCATTGGTGAAGCGTTGGATTCGGATATTCTGGCATCGCGGGGTAGAATGTCGGGTTGAATTTCATACCTACCACCTCACCAAGGGTGTTGTAAAATGAATAAGCAATGCCGAATCAACAAGATTACTTCCCGTCTGAAATATTGCAGCTAATAACGTATCAGTTCGTTAACACTTTGGGTACTTTGAGTTTATTGTTCATTCCTGAGTTTATTGCTCGACAGAAAAAATTGATACGATTATCAGATTCTCGAAACTGAATCGCGGGTAATAATCAATTTTTATTAGCCCATGCTTGCAGTAACGCCAAACATTATCAGGCGGGCCCAAAGGCTGGCGTAATATTACAAACTCGATTCGACCAATCATCATCGAGGAAAATAGTGCGTTCGCAATACGTACGCAGCACTATAAATTAAATATGGAATGAGCGAATGTGCGCCATAGGTAAATAGGTACTGAATTAGTCTCGGTATGAAAAAAGTACCCTAATTTTGGTTTATCTGTTTTAAACCTATTTCTATTCCTCGATTTCTAATTTTCTCTCAACAGGTGAGAAATGCTGGATGCCTATGGTTTGCGACGGGAAACCTACTTGGAGAAACGTTACGGTGCGACCCTTAGTAATAGTTCCTTAATGTTGGTATCATTTATAAAAATAAAACTGTTTTTTTTTCAAATCTGGAAATAAAAATGATTAAATTGAACTTTTTAGCATTTTCTTCCATCTATAAGTTCTGAAGGTTTGAAACTTACTTTAATCGATACCTCATCACAGATTTTACCTTTACACTTTAATCCACGGGAACACTTTTTCAAAGGGAAAACCTACTCAGCTAAGGCAATAGTTTAGCGATGTGCAGCTTTCATGCCCATACGTTTGAACGTTTCTCTCTTGTTCTATTTCAGACGGGACAGTGCACAAAAGAAGAAGAGAAGGCTTTGGACGGTTTGTGTCCACAATATAATTTCCTTTCAAATACGTTTGCAATTTTCTTATATTTGTCAAACGATATGGTAACAAACATGCCCTCAAACAATCGTTTTATTAGAAAAACATAAAATATTTTTATAAAATATGAAAGATTTTATATTTTTATGGCGCTATTTTCAACAATCACATCATAACGTATAGTTTAACATTATCCATATCATATTCCTATTTTTAACCAGAGAGAGAGAGGAGTACATATCTTCTTACAAAAAATTTACTGAATATGGACTGTAAAACTGGAGACTCAATTTAAATTCTATTTTCGTTTATGTTTGGCAGCTTTAATGACAAAACTAGACGGAATGGAAAGTAAGCTCCATCAGTTGAAAAAGACGATGGAAGAATCAGAGACAAACTCACTGACGCCTTCTGTTGTAGGTGTCAAAAATACGACCACGCCCTCTGTTGTAGGTGTCAAGGAAACGACCACTCCTCAGGGTAAGAAAAATCTGTCTTTTGGTATCGCATGCACTAGAATATATATTACAATAGTCCTTACAATAGTTCAGTCAAAGTTAATAATACGGCGGTTTTGCGAATACGTTAATTTGGAAAAAAATTGAAATATATCTACATTGCATTATTCAGTCTCTCAAAATAATAAATCTTGATATAAGATTTTTTAACACAGGATACAAAGACAAGAAAACTTCTTCGGCCCGTATCTCAACCTCACCTGCTACATCCCCGTGGTCATCTTTTTTTTACCATTTTCCCTCCGCTTTTTTGGTACGCGTCAAATATCTTAATTTGAAATTCCTCAGCACCTGAGGTCAATAACAGGAAAAGTTGCGATACTTCCAAGGGAATTAACAGTAATAGTTATTGTTTTGTCTAGTGTCTTATTTGGAGTGGGATTTAAATATCACGGAATGTATTTGAAAAATTACTTTGTTACTCTCCGCAAGACGCCTTAATATATGACAGAGCAAAATTGCCTCAAGATGGCGTCCATAGTCTGGGGGGTTGCTCGGCTTCATGATTTTTGGCGTTGCCGTTTTGCCGCGGACTCGAGAAATCTGGGTTTGGTATAGTTATATATGTATAGTATAGTACCACAAGTAATTCTAGTAAGCGTAACATAACCATTTTCGTATGTGTTATTCCTGACCCTCATATGACTACATCATTCAAAAAGTATTCCTAAGAAAGATCCGTATATTTTGCGTGGGGGTTAGGAATCCCACATGCAAAACTGGTTAGGCCACGAAGTACATGTGATATGGAACTATACAAGACTCAAAAAACATCGTTTCTCACGTTGTTTTTTGTTCACTTCCGATAGGTGATTTTTCCGGATAGGATTTACACATTAATTCCGGGAAAGCAAATGGCCTCCCGTTCGCTCACCAGTCCATGTCCGTGTGGTATTAGTTAGCCAGTTATTTGTAACCGACGTGAACCACCCCGCGGCGGCTAGGTGTCCAACAATCTTCTCGCTTCTACCATCTTTGTATACGTCATTCCTAACCCATAAATGACTATCGATAATCTCACTACGCCATCTAAAAATCATAGTAATGTAATAAGAGAATTTAGAATACACGGACGTTCGTCAAAACGTGCATACGATCACCCGGCTTGCGAACCAAATCCGGCCTGTTGGATAATTTAAACTGGCCCATCTGATGCTGCCACAACCAAAATAAAACCAAATTTTGATGAAATAGGTCAAGGAATTTGTTGAGATTGCTATTTAATTTAGTTTTGACAAGAGGCTTTTGTGCTCCACTTTTGCTTTTGTAACGCTGTAGACATTGTTAATAAAATGTTACTTATTACGTCACAATCTTATGGCGCGCCAGTCTATGTGGGCAGAATTTTTGGCCTTTGCCCTAAAATACCAATATTAAGTTTGCTCTTAAATCCACTCAATGCATTGTCACCATTGAAAGTCTGACATTCCGACATTTGATTATCTCTGGACTTCAAAGCTGAGTCGGAGATAAAAATTGTTTCAACCCGATGTCGATTGTGAATTTTATCCGACTTCACAGCCCTGTTCAGAATAAAATAATATTCGGTTTACGCCAGAATACGAGGCTCGGACTGTAAAAAAGTTCTTTTGCGTTTTTCAGTCGATCTTACATGTGATTTTGAGTCTTCAACCAACCCTACATGCGGCTATACGAGAGTTAATGGGACATTTCAGAGAGAATACAGAGATAATGAAGTTACAGGTATTGTTTCTATATGAAACTCTTACAGATGAGTCTGATTTACTTCCGAGTAATTGCTTGTGACTTTGCTTACAAATGAGTCACCTTTACTTCCGAGTGAGTTTTCGTAACTTTGCTCAGAATGAATATTCTTTACTTTTGAGTGAGTGCTCGTAACTTTGCTTACAATTGAGTCACCTTTACCTGTGGGTGAGTTCTCAAAACTTTGCTCTTAGTTGAGTCTCCTTTACTTCTGAGTCAGATTTATAACTGTGCTGCGAGATATTTACTTTTAAGTGAGAGCTGGTAACTTTTACCATGAGTCTCTCTTAGTTCTGAGTAAGTGCTTGTAACTTCTGACTAGGGATAGAATAATCAGAATAAATCAATATTCTAGAATACTTAAATCAAATCTGAAATTGCGAATTCTTGACTATTTTTTTTTTTGCAAAGAGAAAGAAAGCCGACAAGACGACTTAATCATATAGCGAACCACAGCCTCTTGATAGCAGGCACAAATATACCGCTTAGCATGATGCGCCGAACTGCACCGTTGTATTGCGCGGTCAGATTTTAGACTCTCTCACAAGAATTGAAAGATGCTGTGTCTCCGTATCTCTCACCAGATACACTCTAATTTTTGTATTCTAATTCATCCTAGGTTATGTTCTTGCTGGTAATGGTACAATCAGATCCTTACCCAAGGCTTGGGCTGGCAACGATGAATTATGCATGAGTGTCGACATAAAAGGGACATCTGGTAGGGATCTAGTGGTCAAGGCTCACCATGGAACTGTAATGTGAGTAGCTAACACTGCATTTATTTATTTTTACCATACTATTTGCCGCTTTCACTCCAGAGCATGCTTTGTCAATGTACAGTAAAAAAATATTATTTTTATAGACCAATAACGGAATTTGAAATTCAGTGTTTTATGGGTTTGCAACCTGTCGCCATGTAGCGGGCAAAATGCGGCCCACAAAAAAATTATGCGACATGCAAAATAGTGCCAGTTGTGACTAATTTGCGCACGCGAAACAAATTTTTAATTTAGTTTAATCCTATACGTGCCAGTAATTCCAATCCCTTTGGTGGCAAAACCTATACCTGGGTCCAATATATGATCTATGCCCGTGAACAACTCATGTTGTCTCGCAAAGCCTGTGTTAAATAAAGTTGCAGCCCGTGGCTTCACTCAGTTATTTGTATATGTCTCTTTGTATGAAAGGTTGCACACACCTATCTTAGATTTTTTCAAAAAAAAAATTAGCTTTGAGGATCATCTGTAAACAGAATTACTAGCAACCACTGTAATGTGAGGGGCTGCTGAAACTATAAATACCTATAGCGGTGCATTCCACATTAGTAAATACTGATTGGTGGGGAGACATGGGGCAATTAAAGTTGATGCGCTCGGGGGAAGAGCTAAATATTGGATTCCATATAAATGAGTTTCCTGGAACAAGCAGAATATAACTAAATTTGATTTATTTTGCAAGTTTATGTGAATAACTCAATGATGTGTTTTTTTAATTTTTAGGAAAGCAATTTGGTCGTTTTCTGCCTCGACTAACTGGAAAACCGTGAAATTCATTTTAAAAAAAGAAAACTCTACAGATGCCGAGGTTTGCAACACCTTTGTTAGCGAAAATATTTTTAAATCGGAATTGCTTTGGATGTGAATCCCATCTCACATTGCAAAAAAATTTACTACGATTTTGAAAGGACGTCGTCTCGTTTCATCAGCGTGTAGAGCATTTCTTTGCATAACTGGAATTTTTCTAGAATTCCTTTACAAACTAGGAACACATATTAGCCGTTTAATCATCTTTCCTCGCAACATGTGTAAACCGTAAATAAAGATTATTTGACTCAGTTAGAAACTTCTCGCAATTCTGATTCATTCAAGGACTGACTCCAAATACACATAAAATTCTGATTTTAATAACCCTAATCTGGGTCAAACCAAGAAAACCGAAATTTTGTGACAAAAACTTCAGCTTTTAATAGGAATGCTTAGTAAACCTAATACGGACCTTTTATTTCATTCAGTTTCAATTTGAGCTTCGGGCATCCGGGAATGTTGAGTTGGACAACATAACAACTTTGAACTCTTCCGAATGTTATGGTCTAGGCGAGTGCATAAAGATTTAGTTAGTCAATGGCAAAGATGTTGAAGCTTTGAATGGTCACACTGCCCTATTCGGAGTAAAAGTATATCAGTGGCTGATTGAACAAAGCCTTGTTTTGAGTGAATGAAAATCCATTTCTAATCTGTCATGATAATTATGACCATAAATTCATCCCAAACATGCTGTATGGGGTAAACTGTTCAAATAGCGATTGGGACCTTTCGTCTTTGTAAAAAATATAAAAAAAATTCTCAACCTGACTTTTTTTAATTTAATGTTCTAATCTTCTATACTTTATAGCTTTATATACGTAATTAGAGTTTCCCTGTCCCATCGCTTCGTATTATCCGGCGCATAAGTCACTGCTATAAATCTTCAGCTTCAGTAGCTTAGTGGCCGCCCGTAATTTGCTTTGAGAAACGTTTACTTTATTTCTGAGTGAGTTTGCGTGACTGTTTTTGAAGCAAATATGATGACGTACATACTAAATGATAAAAATAAATATTCTCTTTAATAATTGTTTTATAAATCTTTGACTTCAAATTCTTTAACTGTCAATTTTCTTTCAGAATGCGGAGTTCTCTTTAATTCCAAATGTTTTCGATCGATCGTTTATGACACGTACAACGTCACATTAAGCGTCGCTGAATCTCTTTGCGAAAACAAACTGGCCAACATTTATGACGTCACACACTACCATCTGGTTCGAGATTATTTACGATCAATGATTCCTAATGGACGACGAGGAATTAAGATTCGTACGGGAATGACTTACAAGGTAGATTGAGTCTAAACTCTAAATCATATTGCTTATGCGCCAATACAAGACATCAAAATAAAATGTGACTGATATTTTTACCGAGTTACTATGTGGTATTACATTTTATCTTGTGATTGAACCCCTATAGTTTGAGCATAATGGAGAAGTTTGAATCCAGCCATCGACTTTTCTACCAGATTTTATTAAATTCGTTTGCCAGAGTTTGCCAGTTTTTATCGAAAAATTCAACCAAAAGCTTTTCGCGTAATGTTTTCAGGTAATTCAGAAATTGACTTCAACACCAGTGGAACGCTTCAACTTTACAGCTCTGATACTAAATCAGAGAAGACTAATCGAAACTAATTTCATTATGTGCCTATTCCATTCAATTCTCTTCCACCAGCGGTAATTACTGGGGTGTGACTGAGCCGAATAATCACGTGATGGTGTTACGCTTTATTCAGTTTCTTACTGAAGACCAAATGGGTTTGTTTTGCTCTGTCAGATAATATGGCAATGATTACTGGTTCAACTATACTCAACCATATTCTTAAACTGCCATTTGTTATTTTGAAACTTATTTTTTATTTCAACAGAACGGTCAGCTGTATTCAATGACGGGCCAAGCTATGTCCCTGCCAACTGAGGCTTGGCGTCCCAATTATCCGTCTTCCCATGCATCGGACACAGCTGTTGTTGTTCGTGCCGGTCGAAACCCGGAAGATAGCGATTACGGGATTTATAATAAGCCTCCTTCAGATAAATTTCACGGAGCCATCTGTGAAAATGAATTATAACTATGTACATTGAATGACTGATGAACGAAACCTACAGAATTACTCGAGTCCAAGAGTAATCGGGATTCACCCTATTAGCCAATTTTAAACTTGGTCACACAAGCAGCGTAATTTACATCCCAACTTACTATTATACGACCCACAGTTGAACAATCATATGAAGTAAATAGAACCTACATGCGATATACAACCCTCATATGAGATACAGATGGGGTGTAGGGTAACTGTTTATCACTCGTGTATGACGGTTATGTGGACACGTTTAATGGACATAACGATCGTTTCAATATTATGCTGGTATTGTTATTTTTCTCCATCATTATCATTAAAAAATTGCTTTTCTCTTCGAATACTGGACCAATTGCTTTGAAATTTTCAGTGGTTAAAGATTGATTTTTTTCCAGAAGGCTATTATTTTTACTCATTTCAAAAATTTCTGTGATTTTCAAGAGATTCGTTTTTTATGTGTCAGAGTGAAAAATAGCGACACCTTGTGACGTGTCCATACCCCTTTTTGTGTCCAACTGTACTGCTTTGCTTGATGTGAATATATTTGTAGACTGTGATTAGACGGTACGGTAAACCGTACTGTACTGCGAACAGAGGTGTCCATATATTTGGGCGTAGCTCTCTTGTTTACCTATATATTTATTTGACGAATGCCTTCAAAACGTCGCGATGATAGAGTTCGAGAAAAAGCCTGAGTTGTTTCAAATCCTCATTCCGAACAATGCTCTGCACAGGAATCACTTTTATTTGGAAAACTAAGAATTATTTGTTTTGCTAATAAGATTTAATGCTCACTTATATAAATTGGAAAATTGTTTGTACGCATGATACTTGAAATACGATTCATGTATATCGTACTTCTACTGTTGCCTGCTACTTTCCTATCCGGCAACGGGATCAACATCATTTTTTCTGTTTGATTAAGACTTGTAGAGTATGGATAATCCCAAGCGTCCGAAACCCGATTCGCCAAGTACATCACAGGAGGAAGACAGCACACTAATGGCGGTTATAACCAGCACTATTCTTCGCCAAGTACTGATACAATTGCCCGCAATGATTGATGAATGTTTGACCACCAAAACATCACTATCCAGTCCATCGGATACTTCAAGAGTCGCCGAGTCTAGTTTTCAACACATTCTGAGTTCACTGGACTCCTCATTGAAAGATAAGAGAAGCGAACTTGGTGTGATTGCTAAAGCCCAGAGTGACCTCAGGGACAGCCAAAAATTCTTATCAGACAAATTTGACACAATTATTAAATCTCTTAAATCCACATTAGATATGGTGGAAAAAAAGATTAAAGACCTAGAAAAACT